TTTATTAGGCATGCACTTTTTTTGGGTGTTTTTGGAAAACTCGAATCAAAATTCTGGAATTTTATAACATTATTTTCCCATATATCATGAACAAGTTATCATTTCCTTATAAGAAACTCCTGTTTGGCCGGGCACGGTGGCTCAAGCCTGTAATCCCAGCACTTTGGGAGGCCGAGGTGGGTGGATCACGAGGTCGAGAGATCGAGACCATCCTGGTCAACATGGTGAAACCCTGTCTCTACTAAAAATATAAAAATTAGCTGGGCATGGTGGCACGTGCCTGTAATCCCAGCTACTCAGGAGGCTGAGGCAGGAGAATTGCCTGAACCCGGGAGGCGGAGGTTGCGGTGAGCCTGAGATCGCGCCATTGCACTCCAGCCTGGGTAACAGAGTGAAACTCCGTCTCAAAAAAAAAAAAAAAAAAAAAAGAAACTCCTGCTCAAATTTCAAAGACTTCTTTAATAATTTGGTGAATAAAAAGGGTTAATTTGTTGATGTATTACTTTGAGCACCAGTGAAGTTGAACATATGTTTAATTATTTTTATTATTAAATAAGTTAGAGACAGAATATGGGTAATAATATAATAAATACTCATGTACCTAATGACAAGCTTAAAGAAAAAGGAAGTTACAGATACACTTGAAGTCTATAAAATATCCTTCCCAGGTAAATTTCTTCTTTCTTCTCCCCAGAGACAACCACTAGCTACAATTTGGTAAATATTATTCCCAAGCGTAATTTTTACACATACATATATATCCCTAAAGTATATAAAATCTTGCATATTTTATAGCATTGGAGTGCTGATGTCATGCTATATGTATCCTCTGCAACTTTTTAAAAGCCCAATATTACAATTTTTGCTATTTAGCCACATTGATATGGAGCTCTAGTTCAATAATTTTTATAAAAGCCCATTATATGAATATATGCACTTTAAGTGTTGATATTCATATGGTCTACATTTTCGTTATAAGCAAAAAATGATACACTGAAGATTCTTACATAAATGTCCTTAGGTACATTCGAGAATTTCTCTAAGAAATAGCCGTAGAGTGAAAATGTCAGGTCATAGAATAGACATATCAGCTTTCCTAGATTTTGCCATTTGCTCTCCAAGGTGCTTGCTCTGATTTATACTTTTACCAGTTTATTAAGTTTATTGGTCCTTTACTCTTCTACATATTACCATATATATATCATTTTTTCAGACAAATTCTCACCCTGTTACCTAGGTTGGAGTACAGTGATGCAATATTGGCTCACTGCAACGTCTGCCTCTTGTGTCAAGCAATTCTTCTGCTTTAGCCTCCCAATTAGCTGGGATTCCAGGCATGCACCCTCACAACTAGCTAATTTTTGTATTTTTTGTAGAGACAGGGTTTCATCATGTTGGTCAGGCTGGTCTCGAACTCCTGGCCTCAAGTGATCTGCCCGTCTCGGCCTCCTAAAGTGCTGGGATTATAGGCATGAGCCACTGTGCTCAGCTATATTTTTGAAACTCATATAGAAACTAGGCTACTTATCTTTTTCTTTATAATTTGTGATAGTTTTTTTAATATATTCTTCTTATTAACTTTTATTTGTTATATGCTTTGCAGAAAACCTTCCAATCTATGGTCATCTTTTAACTTTGTTGATTGAGTCTTTTTTATACATAGTCTTAAATTTCAATGTCTCTAAATTTAATAATTTTTTCCTTTGTGAACTGTGATTTTACTTTTTTTTAATTTAGAGACAGGGCCTTGCTCTCTCCATCCAGCTGGAGCACAGTGGCACAATCATAGCTTACTGTAACCTGCAACTCCTGGGATCAAGTAATCCCCTTGTCTCAGCTTCCTAAGAAGTTAGGACTACTAGCACACACTACTATACCTAGTTAATTTTTAAATTTTTTATAGAGACATATAGAGACAGGGTTTCTCTGTGTTGCCCAGGATAGTCTTAACTCCTGGCCTCAAGTAAGTCTCCCACCTCAGCCTCCCAAAGTACTAGGATTATAGTTGTAAGCTATAATGCCTTGCCTGAACTGTAATTTGTGTCTTGGCTTTTTCCCTCTTCATGTCAGATAATTTTTTATATTTTTTTCTTTTTTTTTTTTTTTTGAGACGGAGTTTCGCTCTTGTTACCCAGGCTGGAGTGCAATGGCGCGATCTCGGCTCACCGCAACCTCCGCCTCCTGGGTTCAAGCAATTCTCCTGCCTCAGCCTCCTGACTAGCTGGGATTACAGGCAAGCGCCACCATGCCCAGCTACTTTTTTGTGTTTTTAGTAGAGACGGGGTTTCACCATGTTGACCAGGATGGTCTCGATCTCTCGACCTTGTGATCCACCTGCCTCGGCCTCCCAAAGTGCTGGGATTACAGGCTTGAGCCACCGCGCCCGGCCCAATTTTTTATATTTTTTTTCAAATGTTTTGTTTTCTTTTTTTTTGAGATGGAGTCTCACTTTGCCCAGGCTAAAGTGCAATGGTGCAATCTCATCGCACTGCAACCTCCGCCTCCCCGGTTCAAGCAATTCTCCTGCCTCAGCCTCCCCAGTAGCTGAGATTATAGCCATGTGCCACCATGCCTGGCTAATTTTTGTATTTTTAGTAGAAATGGGGTTTTACCATGTTGGCCAGGCTGGCTAGAACTTCTGACCTCAAGTGATCAGCCTGTCTCCGCCTCCCAAAGTGCTGGGATTACAGGTGTAATCCCAGGCCCAGGTGAGCCACCGTGCCTGGCTGATTTTCATTTTTTTATACAAAAATGTTCAGTCTGTGTGGAATTTATTTTTTAATATGGTGTGAGGTAGGCATATCATTTGATGCTTTTTCCACAAGCAGTGGGCTCAGATTCATTTATCAAATTGCCCTTTTTTTTCCACTGGTACACAATGTAACATCTCTCATATATCATTTCCATATATGTAAAGATGTGTTTCTGGGTTTTCTATACTCTTTGGCCATTTTGTATAGCTGTATCAATAACATGCCAATTAATTTCTATAGTTTCATAAAAATATAATGCTTCCTATATTGTACAAATTGTGTCCTCCATAACAACACCAGGATGAAGAAATGGGTAGAGGCTGAAATCCAAATCCAAATCCTGCTTGATATACCCAGACACAAAGCTCTATCTACCTTGAATGAGTGGCACCATTTTCTAATTCATGGAAAGACTGCCTGCTGGGTAAACTTTGTGCTTTCAGGGTTCCCCTCTTTCATCCTAGGGGTACATTTTCCTTCTTGGGAAATTGATAGAGAAACGCTACTGCATACTCTGAATCAATGTCAACTGTATGTCAATTGACATTCCAAGACGGAAATTCTCCCATCTTGTCCTTCTTCAAAAGTGTCTAGTCTATATTAGGCCTTTCGATCTTGCTGAAATTTATGTAAATCTTGTTGAGAATTTCACTAATCTTGCATTGTTTTTTATTATTTTGTGGAGAATTGACATCTTTTTGATATTTAATTTTCCCATTAATTAATATATACTATCCATTTATTCATGCCTTTTTAATGCCTATTAACATAGTTCAATAATTTATTCAAAAAGGTTTTGTAAATATTTTTTAGATTTATTTTCATGGTTTTTCTCTCATTGTCACACACACATACACACACACACAATTATACTTTATACTTGTGTGTCGCTCATGCTTATGAACACAATTTTTTATAATTATGACATTTAAAAAATAGTTATTGGTTATTCAGAGTGAATTTCCTGTTGAAAACCTTAGTTTATTATATTTTTTTTCCTGGTCTATCTGTGGCGTAATACCCTCCTCCCAGTGATTTGTAAGAACTTTTGAAAGCTGAAGGCAAATTGTGTTTCATCATATGTATTACAGCTTTTTTCTTCCAGTTTGCCATTTGACTTTTTGTTTCATTAATGAGTATTTTTTTCGTTGACTGCAGAAAATTTAAATTTGATGGAGTCAAAAATACCAATCTTATGTGATTTCTTTCTTGTTTTTATGTTTTCTTATTCAAGATTAAATAACTATATTTTCTTTTTGAAATTATTTTTAACTTTTTAATCTATCTGGAGTTTGTGTTGATATTTGCTGTAATTAGTATTGTCAGCTTTATTTTTTTTTCTTTTCAGGAAGGTAGTCAAATGTTCTAGCACCATTTTATTCTCCATTGAACACTGCTTCAATCATAAATTTGTGCCTGTAATCTTCATTTTCAGTTTTGTTAACTACCTGAAGAGTTGATCAATCTTGGAATTTTTGCAATCAATTAAACATTTTTGAAAGCTAAGAGAATGCTTTGCCTTAACACTGCAGTAGTTCATGGGAGAATGCTCCCAACAGAGAATTCATATTTTCATATTGCCTACTCACAGTCTGGCTAATATAGAGTAGATGATAAATAGGCAATAGATCTATGAATAAATTGTGGAAATTAGGAGACATTTTAAAATTTAGATTTATTTATATTTTCGAAGGGAGGTAGGTTTTAATTTCTTGCAAGGTTGTAATTCAGTAGAATAGGAAGGGAGAAACTAATGCAGAGGAACAGAAGGAATGCATGAGATGGAGAATTCCCAGAAATATTTGAGACACTGATTAACTCATCAGAAATTTGAAACAAGGTCAGAAACAACTTAGAAAAGAATACACTGTAGGTATGATAAATATTATAAGATTGGGAGTTTTTTGTTAAATTATGGCAAATTTTGTACGGACAGAATAGCAGAACAGACCTCATGAACCCATCTCATTATCTTCAACAATTACCAGTTCAAAAGTTGTTGTTATTATATCTACCTCCACACATTTCATCTTTTCCTCCACCACTGGATGACTTTGAAACAAATCCTAACCATTCTATCATTTCAACTGTAAATATTTCAGCAAGTCTCTGCAAAAGCTGAAGACTCTACAGCAAGACATAGACCCAATATCCAGGTTGAGTAGGAATTTGCTATCTTACTAATCTAATGAATTAACAAAGTCTAGAGCATTCTTATTAAAGTGGTAGAGCATAAGAACCTCCTACCTGGTGTTTTGAGATTTGCCTGGGTTGAAATCCTGGCTCTCAGCTTCCCACTTGTGTGACTCCAGCAAAGCTCTTCACTTATCAACTCCAAATCTCAATTTCCTCATTAGTGAAAGAAGGATACATAGTAGCAGTTTTATCCATTTCAGAATTGTCATAGGATTGAAGTAACATATGTGAAAACAAATCTAAAATTGTGAAGTACTAACTTCCAGCCCAATCCTCTTCCTTGTAGATGAACTTGAGGACAGACACATCACCTGAAGGACAGATCATCTTTGCTTAGCCTTGTCTACAATGTTCTTGCTAGGTTTCTCCTCCTAGAAAACACATTACTTAGGTACTTAACAGAACAAAAAACAAGCATCAGAAAACAAAAGCAAAAAAAATTTGGGGGTGATAGACACTCATACTCGTCAGTAATTCTGGATACCAAGAGAAAAGTACTTAGGTTTGCTTCTCTCACCTTTTCTCCTTTCATTTAATGTACCCTGTTCTTCGCCTTAGTTCTAATAGCTCTGAGAGCTGATTACTTTTCGGTTGTCCCAACCATCAGGATCCTGCCTAGTGCAACTCAAATTTCCAAAAGTTAATTTAGTGGCCTTGTGGTGACCAGAGCTTCAGATAACTCACAGAGAAACAATGTCTATTTCCTCTCCCACGAACAGTCACCACAATCATAAAAAAGACAGTAGCGGGCAAGTTTTGTTAGCTAACCTCTCTCTCCATCCTCTGGGGGAAATTACTCGACTCCCTATAGGGAGAGCGCTAAAGAGAATGTTTTCCTAAAAGGGGACATCTGGGCGGTGTCCTGTTTTCCCAACGCCCTGATTTCTATTCTTAGATCTGGAGATAGGCGGCTTTCATTTTTCCTGCTCCCAGTTCCCAGACCTTCCGTGGGGCCTCGGGGCCTCAGGAACCCCGGCCAGCGGGCGGCGGAGGGCGGCCGGCCGGGCTGCGCACTGCGCGCCTCCGCTGCGGGGCTCGGGGCCTGGGGCCTCGGCGGAGTCCGTTTTTCTCCTGCGCGACTCGGGCCGCGCCGCCGCTGGGGTGGAATCTGGTCCCGGGAGGCGGCGCCAGCCCGGGGTCCGGTTTAGGCGGGCGTGGGGGCCGCGGTCACGGGCATCCCGGCCAGGCCGGCTCCGGCAGCCGCCAGGGTTCTGGGAGGCCTGGGCCTCCGCCGAGCTTCAGGCAGGCCCTTGAGCTCGTTTTTGGGGCCTGGGTGGGGGAGGAGGAAGCCGAGCAGGAGGGCTCCGGAGAGGGAGGCGGCGCGGGGCGGGGAGCTTCGCCTTCCTCATAAACAGCAGGGCGTGGGTGCCGGGGGGTGGGGGGTGGCCCGCGGGCGGCGCGGCTGCGGGCGGGGAGGGGAGCTGTGGCCGGCGCCCCCGCGGCTCCCGGAGGAGCGCACGCTCGTGCTGGCAGGGCTGCGGGCTGGAAGCAGGGGCCACCATGGCTAGTGGCAGCAGTCAGGGGTGCGAGGAGGACGAGGAAACTCTGAAGAAGTTAATAGTCAGGCTGAACAACGTCCAGGAAGGAAAACAGATAGAAACGCTGGTCCAAATCCTGGAGGATCTGCTGGTGTTCACGTACTCCGAGCACGGTAATCACTTGCAAGGAAGCTGTGCATGTATTTTTGCAAACTTTCACCCCCTCCTCACTTTTGCAAACTTTGTCCTCCTTCCCTTGATGCTGCTCAAACCCGGACTCTTAAGGAGCCTCAAACTCCCATATCCTTTCCTTAGGGCTGAGAGGAGTTGAGAATTCCAGAGAGGTCTTGGCGTTCACCTTTTAGACTTTTTTTCTCCCTTTTTCAGACTTAAAGGAAAGGGGGTGCTGTGGGTTGTGACTTTGCTTCTTTTCCCCGCCCCCTTGTTTTCCAGCCTCCAAGTTATTTCAAGGCAAAAATATCCACGTGCCTCTGTTGATCGTCTTGGACTCGTATATGAGAGTCGCGAGTGTGCAGCAGGTAAAGGCATTGTTTTCACTTCAACTCATTCCCCCTTCTGTTTGGAAGGAGACGTTTTACTGGCAGTGTTATATACCCGGGAGTTCTTGGTTATTCCTGAAATTTGGCCTGAGGAACCTCTGACTGATTTTAAGATGGGAACATTGTTAAATCATTAGACAATGTAAACTGGTAAAGGGCCCCGGTATGTGTTCCCTAAGTGTCTTTCAGAAGTGACTTTATAAAACCCACAAAATGGATAGTGTAGAAAGGGGATAAAAATGGGTTCGTGTTTAGTCCCATTATTGGCAAGAATTCATTAGTGTTTAAGAGTTGACTATTCCAAGAATCTTCCCAATGTAGGGCGTGTCCTAGATGAAAGAATTATGAACATTTTGGAAAAGGGGAATAATTAATGGTGATAAAATGCAACTTAGTCGCTGGCAAACTCTTGTAGAGCTCAGCACTTTTTTTTTAAAACTCAAAGACAGATTCTAGCCTTCAGTTACAGTATACCCTGTGGTCTCTAAAGAAAGCGATGCCTTATGAGTTCCTCATAATTTGCAACTGTTGTCATGTAAAATGCATGTAAAAGTGGAACTTTCACAGCATGTACTATTGGAAACTCAGAAATCTGCTAAATACCTTGGATATGTTTTTTTAAAGGGGCCTTAAAATGGTAATTAAGAATGATTTCCAGTCAAAACAAAATTATAGGCCAAGGTGATAACTTCCTTTGGAGTACTTTGAGATTTGGGGAACTGAAATCAGTTTTGTCATCTACATGTTAACTCATGCAGAGAAAGAGAATTGAACTTTGAATGCCACGGAGGTGGAGTCAGAAAGCTAATGTTTCTTAATGCTTGCGAGGCTTGACAGATGTAAGACATGTCAATCTTTAAATCGGTGTGCGTTTATCTTCATGCTTATCTCTATAGCTAGCTGTATCTAGGCTGAGTGAACCATCTAGCTTCTTTGATACGAGTACATTTATACCTGGAAGAAATATTTTAATTTGTTTTCAACTGTGAAATATTTTCCATCTGACTATTATAGATTTTCCTGCTGATATCAAAACCAAACCAAGAAAAGATGGAGGCGTAATAAAGATGCTGTTCTTTTAAGACTCAAAGTCGGAAGATTGCCTGTGGAATATGACTCACTCTTTGGGCACTGGCCTATTGTGCTTCCTGCCCTGCACTCCCATCATCCCTTCTTACTTGCCTCTGCCTTGGTTTTCAGAAGTGCCTGATTCCGGCCACCTTCATTCCCTAGTCTGTGTACTTGGTAGAGTCACTCCTGCTTGATACCACTCAGGACAGTCAGAACCTGAGTAGGCTTTGGTCTACAGGGTCCAGATAAAGGCAGTGCTAGACTTGAGAACCCAAGAGTGCCTGGAACATACTCACCACCTAATTCTTAATTTAGAAATTGCTCAAGCCTGGGCATACTTGTCCAGAGTAGTTACGAGTGTCACTCAATATTTCTGCCAAGAGGGTATCAGAGGCAAAGTATGCTGGAAAACAAGGAAGAATCTTTTTAAAAGTAATTAATTAATTCATTTTTTGATATATCATAGTTATATATATTTTGGGGGTACATATGATATTTTGATATATGTATACAATGTGTAATGTTCAAATCAGGGTAACTGGAATATCCATCACCTGGAACATTTTTCTTTGTGTTGGCAACATTACAATTCCTTTCTTCTAGCTATTTTGAAATATGCAATAAATTATTAACTGTAATTTCCTTACTATACTATTGCAAATGAACTTATTGCTTCTATCTAATTATATTTTTGTGCTCATTAACCACCTTCTTTCATCCCTCCCCATCCTTTCATTCCCAGCCTCTGGTCACCACCATTCTGCTCTCTCCCTCAATGAGATCCACCTTTTCAGCTCCTACATATGAGTGAGAATATGCAATATTTTATTTCTGTGCCTGGCTTATTTAATTTAACCTAATGACCTCCAGTCCCATCCAGGCTGTTGCAAATGACAGGATTTCATTTTGTATGACTCAATAATGTTCCATTGCATATGTATACCACATTTCCTTTTATTTTTAATTAAGTAATTAATTTAGAGACAGGGTCTCACTCTGTTTCACTGCAGACTTGAAATCTTGGGCTCAAGTAGTCCTCCTGTCTCAGCCTCCTAGGTAGCTAGGAGTATAAACATGTGCCACCATGCTCAGTTAATTTTTTTAAAATCTTTTTTTACTTTTTGTAGAGATGGAGTCTTGCTATGTTGCCCAGGTTAGTTTCAAACTCCTGTCGTCAAGCAATCCTCCTGCCTTGGAGCAACCCTCCATATTTTCTTTATTAATCTGTTGATGGACCTATAAGGTGATTTTGTATCTTAACTATTGTGAACAGTGCTGCAATAAATATGGAAGTTCAGACATATCTTTGATATACTGATGTTTATTTATTTATTTGTTTGAAACAGAATCTCACTTTGTCACCCAGGCTGGAGTACAGTGGCGTGATCTCAGTTCACGGACAACCTCTGCCTCCCAGGTGCAAGCAATTCTGCTTCAGCCTTGCAAGTAGCTGGGACTACAGGCACACGCCACCACGGCACGCTAATTTTTTGTATTTTAGTAGAGGTAGAGTTTCACCATGTTGCCCAGGCTGGTCATGAACTCCTGAGCTCAGGCAATCCGCCTGCCTTGGCCTCCCAAAGTGCTGGGATTACAGGAGTGAGCCACCGTACCTGGTGTCGTTCTTTTGGATATATACTCAGTAGTGAGATGACTGGATCATATGAAAGTTCTATTTTTATTTTTTTAAGGGACTTCCATACTGCTTTTCTTAATGGCTTACTACTTTATATTCCTATCAACAGTGTACCACCATTACCCTTTCTCTGCATTCTCGCCAGCATTTGTTATTTTTGCCTTTTTGATAACAGCCTGCCTGTGGTGAGATATCTCATTATGGTTTTGATTTGCCTTTCCCTAATGATTAGTGATGTTTAGGATTTTTTTTTCATATAGCTGTTGGCCATTTGCCTGTCTCCTTTTGAGAAACTTCTATTTGAAACTTTTGTCCATTTAAAAATAAGATTTTTATTTCTGCTAATTGAGTTTTTTGAATTCCTTATGTATTCTGGTTGTTAATCCTTTGTTGAATGCATAGTTTGCAAATAAATTCTCCAGTTGTTTAGGTTGTCTCTTCACTTCCTTGATTATTTCCTTTTTTGTGCAGAAGCTTTTTAGCTTGATATAGTCCCATTTGTCGATTTTGGTTGTTGTTGCCTGTGCTTTTGAGGTCCTACCCCAAAAATCATTGCACAGACCAGTGTCCTGTAGCATTTCCCCAATGTTTTTCTAGTAGTTTCATAGGTTCAGGTCTGAGATGTAAGTCTTTAATTCATTTTGAATTGATTTGTGTATATGGTAAAAGCTGTGGATCTGGTTTCCTTCTTTTGCTTAGCAATATAATCCAGTTTTCCCAGCACTATTTATTAAAGAGACTGTCCTTTCTCCACTGTTTGTCTTTGGCATCTTTGGAAATGCGTTGCCTATAAGTTCCTGGATTTTTATCTGGGTTCTCTATTCTGTTCTATTGATATGTGTGAGGAATAGTCTTTTGATTTGGTAATTTAATGGAACAGAATTATTAACTGCAGCACTACATGTGTATAAGCCTATAAAGGACATTGCATATTATGGTATTTGATTCTCACTGAAATCTCACTGCCTTCTCGGGAACTTTGCTGGATGTTTTACTCATAGCTCAGTGAGAGTGAGCTGCTCACTAAGGATCAAATAGCTTGTGACAGACCTAAGACTCAAGTCTTCTCACACCTTCAAACTCTCTTTCTATCATACAGTCTACTGGCTGCTGAATTCAAAAGCTTTTTGTGCAAGCTAGTAAAAAGCAAAATGGTTTGGTACAAATACTGTGGCCATGCTAAGTACAATGACATCCATTTAAATTATTGTTGGTCTTACCAAGGGGATGTAGAAAGGAATTTCCAACTGACATTTTAATACTGCACTTGAAAGCAGTATTTTTCCTTAAGATTTCTTCATATTGCTAGTATAATAACTGTAGGTACCCTTTAATGCTTTATATCTTGAATTAGCTGGAAGTGCCGAATTAAAAACTCTTAATGATGAATTTAAGGTATTAAGGTAAATTACTCCTTCATTTAATTTAATAGTAATTCTTAATTACTATTTAAAATAAAGATTAAGGTTTGTTTCTAGATGCCATTTAACGTGGTATTCCAGACGGTCAGTTTTATTTTCAAAGTTTATTTCATATTTTATTAATGCTTCTTCATAAACGACAATCTTTAGAAAATTGCTAGTTAGGCAGGCTGTGTTATATGTTTCTCTTCCTGCCCATTATTTCACTATGCTCCTAAATTTTACATCTTTTGGTTCTC